TATATCTCAGGTGGGAGGGCAGGGGAGGGAGAAACTCCCCCCCCCCTTTTTTTTTTTGGAAATTACACTAAATTATATATTTTTTTTTTAAATGGGAAAAAAAGAGGAATTTAAGGGGATTAAACGACATTTTTTTCCCCCATGGCTTTGATCTATTTCTGGAGACTGAAGATAATTTGACTTGCTACTGGTTATATGGACTCGTTTTATTGAGGTTTATTTTATTTTCATGAAGATTCAAGTATAACCATCGAAACATTAGTTTTATGTGTTCTGAAACCAGTAAGTACAGTTTTTAGTTTTTTTTCTCTCTTTTTTTGTGTGTGTTCCTTTGTAACTACCGAGTGGTAGAACAAGTACCTTCTCAGCTTACAGCTTTTTCATTAGAAATATGAACTCCAGTTTCCTGCCCAGAATCTCTGTGCCACCACCCCCAGGCACATAACTCCTTCCCTTGGTACAAGCAAATTGAAGAAATTCTGATCTGGGCTCCTTAGGAGGGGCCTGGCTGCTAATTGATTTTTACTATTCTAGTCACACCTGTTGATATCTACTATGCAATTTAGTCTAGAAATGTATAATTTCTAAGGAAAGTAAAAAAAATAATAATCCTGGAATAATAACTACAAATGCATCTCCATAATTACTGAATTGTAAACTCTGAACGCTTGTCACTGGAGATCATCTGACCTGACTTCACAGATTAAACCAACCAATCATTGCACAGGAGCCAATATTTAAATGCATAGACATAATGAGCAAGGATGCATCAGCAATTATCTCTCCAATTCAACTGACTTAGCACTTTTTCCTATTAACAGTAAAATTGAAAGGTACATTGCATTTTACACCTTTCTGTTTCATTCAGCAATGCATACCAATAGATGTTTGCTTTTATTTATTTATTATCTATTTTGTATAGTTGTGTTTATTTATTTACTTGCCAAGCTTGAAGACGTTTTATTTATTTTTTATAGAATCTTCCTGCATTAGTTAAAATGATACATACATATTTTGAGATCATATAGTTAATGTCACAATGTTATATGTAAAATGAAACAAACAAGACACATTGCTAAGTAATACACACACTCTCTCTCTCTCTCTCTTTCGCACACACACACACACACACACACACACACTCTCTCACATACACACACACACACACACACACTCTCTCTCACATACACACACACACACACACTCTCTCACATACACACTCACACACACACTGCACACAAAATGCTCACATAAATCTCATATCCATGGCCAAAGCTAAAGTCATTGTGATTTAACCCCGAGGCTCCTTTCAATTCCTGTATAAATTAGGCCTGGTCCCTTATCACTAGCACCCAGTAGTGCATGCATCCTGGGGATTGGTACTTAACATTTAAATGAGCAGAAAATAATCTAATTCTATATTTTGTAAAATATTATATATTTTTTTAATGTGCTCCTATAGTATTTTTTTATTTGTTTTCTGATAGATGGTATATCAGTATATATAATTATCTAAAGGTTTTACACACTTCTTTACATTGTTACTTCCAAACAGCAAGAGTCAATATTCACATCCTTACCTATATATTTTGAAGGACATGGAGCATGTTTTGAAAACATAATTAATTTTATTTATTTATTTATTTTGCTGTTTTCCAGATTAAGGCATATGGATATTTCTGATTCACTGGAATTAAATTTGGAGGTAATTATATGCTCGATTTTCATCTGTGTATCAATGTCAGTTTATAATTTAGTTCATAGTTCAGTAAATGGTACAATGTATTATGCAGTTGCAAGATATTTTTTACTTTGAGTGAAGTGACCTGTTTTATATAATTTACTTAGCTTTTTTTTTAAAATATTTTTTATTTTTGTTATTATTTATTTATGTATTTTTTTAAACCTTTTTTTGTTGTTCATGTGGCCATTGTAATGTTTGGACGTGTGGTTGAACACTTTCTTTAAATAAAGCAGTTAATTCCAGGATAGGATTTTGAATTAACCCTTTAATATGCAAATGAACATCAACCCCCACATTACAGGTTTAACGAAGAATGACAATTCTTGATTGCCTTTGAAAAAATGTTTGACAGTCGCAGTAATAGCGATCTGTGTAATAATACAGGCACAGGCTTAACAATACCCGATGTTACTGTGCAGACACACTCAACATTATAAATTTGAGGAATTAAAAGCCTTCTCCAGTAAGAATGTTTAATGTTATCACACGGATTATCAATGAATTTAGAAACACTCACAATTTAACACAGGTGAGGGAGGGGAAAACAAAGCTTGGAACACTGATTAGCATTTTGCTTATAGTGCAACACATCACATGACTACAGTTCAACACACACACACACACACACACACACACACACACACACACACACACACACACACACACACACACACACACACACACACACACACACACACACACACACACACACACACACACACACACACCCACCCCCCCCTTTAATTGTGTCAGTCTTTATTCCAGACCATATTGCAGATGTATAAGCCTTGATGCATTATGGAGGTTTTCCCCACACCCATATATAGTGCACTGTCCATATATAAAATAAATAATTTAAATTGTTCACATTCGCGATGTTTTGCAAGGTGTAAAGGTCTGTGTGTGGACTTGGCAGACATCATAGAGAGTGAGGTGATATTAGATATTAAATGTTTTGAGGGAAGTCAGATTGGTGTGAAATACTCCATACAGGTTGGTTGTGGAATGTACGGTGTTAGGTGAGGAACAGGTTTTAGAGTGTTGGGCTTTGGTGTGGAATGACCTGGACTGTTCTAGGTGTGGACAACTCTGTGTGGTGTTAAGTATACCATTGGAAAATGTAGTGAGGTGGGTTGTGAACTGGAGGTGGCTATAGAATCCCAGCTGTGGTATATGTGATCTATGATATTAATTGTTAGGTTTATGTGCCATATGGTGTTAGGTATGGCATGTGCTTTATCGGGTCTGGTGATGATGAATGTGCCATAGTGTGCTAGGTGTGAATTATGCTACACAGTGTGAGGTATGGAATGTGCTCTTTAGGTAGGTATTGAATATACTGCAGAATGTTAGGTAAGTGAGCTCTGCAGTCGTAGAGTGTTAGTTGTTGGATTTAGAAGTATTTAGGTTTTAGATTGGAACCTTGATTGTACTGGAGAATGTGGATCATGCCCTAGAGGATATGTATTGGCACTGGTTGTTTTATGTGTCATTCTGTCTTGGCAAAAGAATAATATGATGTATGGCTACATTTACTGCTTTGGAAATAAAACCTATAGATTTCTGAGTTATCTGTCTGTCTCTCCGTTTGTCTGTCGGTCCTTCTGACTGTCTGTCTCACTTTCTCCATTTTTAGAAAGCTCATTAGTTTTACACTGTGCACTGATCACGTGGTGTTAACACCCTCAGCTGGGGATGTGTGAGGACAACGATAACTCCTGTTACAATTCTAATATATTTTGGAAAAATAGAACCCTTTATTATGTTGTTGTTTGATGAAAGGGCTGTCAATTTTGGGCGTACGGTGATTTATTTATAGAATGGAATTGTTATGCAGTGTGTCTGTGTGTGTGTGTGTGTGTGTATATATATAAATACATACAGTGCAGTGTTTTATTTATAGTGAGAACCTAGTTAATATGCAGTGTGTGTGTATATATATATATATATATATATATATATATATATATAATTAATATTTTTTTACAGCAGTAGTTTGCTGCATCATGATATTATAAACAGGAAGAGAGGTGTATGAAATAAGCATAGCATAATACATTGCACCACCATTGTCTTTATTCACATTATCTGCAATAAACTAACACATAAAATTCAACATTAAAATAAAAATATAGCTCTTCCATGTACACATGCATCACGCCATTCCCGTTATAGTAATGTATGGCAGGAACAAAGCTTTAATAAACACAGCCAGTCTGATACAAATTCCCATTCATTCCTCCATAAGTGAGAGCCTTGTATAAAGTCACGACATAGGGCTCCATGAGATCGCGTCATACCGTGACAGTACCTGCAAAAAAAAAAAAAAATAATCACGATATCCGCCTCACCGTGACCGAGAGCCCTTTAAACAGCATCATGCACTGAGCACACAACACGCCAAGCCAGCCCCTTCCCACTGCTTCCCTCAGCCAGCCAGCCAGCCATCCATCCAGGCCCTCGCTGTAAATCCTGGCGTATTGGAGGCATTGCTTGGATGGAGGAATGAAGGGAGAGACAGGGAGAGGCGTTCCCCAGCCTGCACCTCCTTGTCCTCCCTGTCCATAGAGGAGCTGGGGCAGGCTTGGACAGACACTAGGGCTGTGTATGTGAGGAGGGCCCTGGCTGCAGGTTAGATGGAGAGGGAGCTGTCCTGGGCTGCGTTGGTGCTGATCCGGAGGGGCTCCATGCATAGCAATTGAGGGTATTTTTAAAATTATTTTTTAATTTTTTTGGGCTCATGACATCATCATTACCTTGGTCCCCTGCTGTCCAGGACCTTTGACCTTGCCGGGCTGGTCCACATTTTTTTGCAATGAAAAGACAAACCCCCTCTCTTTCATTTCATCCCCCCCCCCTTTGCTTTTTTTTCTTATATACATCCCCACCCCCTCCTCCAATGATGGCCCTTTTCTCCCTTTTTTTCCAGAACGGTGGCAGGAGCAGCAAGCCAGGAAAACGGGATCTCCTGCATCTTCTCCACTTCCACCTGCGAGTCCAACCAGGAGCTTGCCCCTACACGCGAGATGTGGGCCATCAAGCTGCCGTCACTGAGGAGGGGTAGAGGGGAGCTGAAACCCCCTCCCCATGTCATGCATCACGTTAGTGGATCAGGATCAGACCATTGAATCATCTTGTCACTTTGGACTGGCTGGGATTTCTCCTCTGGTGACTGAGAGCTCTGAGGAGCAGAAGGCTTCCCGTCATCGTCTCTGGTGGTTAATGGGTCTTTTGGTGAGAAAAGAAGCGATTTACAATGCAAATAGAGGCCTGGGAAAGACTGGAGGCTGTTCATTGCTCATTGAGAGCCCCTGTGTGTTTTCTCATCTCTGGCATAAAGCGCTTTGGTGATTATCCTTTTAGGAATAACTCGCCAGGAGAAAAGTTGGGAGTCAACTTTGAAGGCAACAGCTTTGTGTGGATGCTTATGGAGCTGGTGGCAAGCTGGGAGAACTACCTTTGGGAAGGGATGCTTGTTCTAAGACGCCTGGTCCTCCATAAAGGCTTCAGCCCACCCACAGAGCCTGGGAAATGGATACTGTTACAGAATCAATGTGTGGAAGTGGCTGTTATCTTTGGTTATCTAGCTGTATGAGTGTATTGGTCCTTCATAAAGCTAGATAACCGAAAGTAAAAACTCCTTCCAGATCATCACATCATCAGCAGCTGAGGAATAGAGAGACCAAGGGGGGGGAGCTGGGTATTTAAAGGACTAGACCCAGCTAAAGGGCTCTCTCTGCATAGAGAGTGGATTCTGTCTCTTTAAACACAAATCAGAGCAGAGGATTGAGAAACGTGTCTCTGGGTTTCTTATCTAATCCCCCACAACCCAAACCCCCCCTCCCCCCCTACCTGGACAGTGGTGCTCATGGTAATGTATGTCAAAACTTTTCATGTTCAGCATAAATAAGTATTGATTTTTGATTTTTCTCACTGTAACTCTTTCGTTGCCAGAAGCACTAACACCGCAGTGCTTCAAAGCTCCATTCCTGCAGGCCTCTCTGGTGTCTGAATGGTTAAGAAATATAACTTGTCTCTCACAAAGAGCATATACATTCGAACACCCAAATAATAAGTGTCAAATATGTTATATATCTGTGTGTGTCTATGCATGTATGCATTTATAAACGATACAGTGAAAGAGAAATAATATAATAATACACTCCAGTAGAAATGTTAAAAATATACCTTTATTATTGTTATTAAAAAGGCAATAAAGAAGGGATATAACAGCCATATATATAGAATTCTAAACACAAATTACCACTCACCTCCAGTGTGTACACACACACACACACACACACACACACACAATTATAAAATGTACAGACCGCAGACAGGAATATCTTACAGGCACATTTTGGAAAATCTGGCAGAGAACACTTGTCCATTTTGCTTATATTCGAAAATGGGAAATGTTGATATATATTTATGTTTGTGTGTGTTGTGTATTGTGTCTGTGTGTGTGTGTCCAGATAGAAAAGGCAGATGTTTCTCTATTTTTAGAGGGTTTCCTTAAAAAAGTCTGCAAGGCAAAAAGAACTGATAGAGACGATGCCCCCCCCCCCCCCCCCCCTTTGTCAAAGTTTTAAAATTTCCTGTTTTACTCTCCCCCTTGCATTGAAAATGAAAGTGACATCTCTACAAAAACACACGTGTACCCCTCCTCTGAGCCTTTCCCTGCTTATCTGTTCTTTTTAAGGTTGATCAGATCTATCCAGGAAACAGCTATGGCATCCCCAAAAACTGAAATAATTAGGACATAGACAGAAGTGAAAAAAATGGGGAGGGAGGGGATATAAAGAGATGGGGGTTTAGGGGGGGGGGGGGGGGGGGAGGTATCAGTCCTGCCTAATTGATTCGGTTAAACGGAATGCAGGAGATGTGAACGGCTGGAGGCTTCTCTTCCCACGCTCAGGGGCAAGTAGCAATGCTATGGTCCTGCAGCCTGTGACAGACAGCCTTGCAGGAGGGGGGTGGGGGGCTGAGATACATCAAGTGCACCAAACCACACTCATCTCCTTGCTTTAGAAAGTGGAGGCATTTTCCCACCCACAGCCATCTGCAGGCTTCCAACTGTTAAGCAACAAAACAGTGTCTGCTTTGTATTCCTTTAATAACTACCCAAAGATGTTTATGGATTAGCTGTATTTATTTATTATTTTAATAAATGTATAAAATTTAAATGTGACAAGTTCACAATAACACAAGATCACCGTGCATCTGGTGCTTATTGTCAGAAGAAGAATTTCAATAAAAAAACGAAGGTTTAATTTTAATATAGGTCTGCAAATGTGTAATATGGGACACATGATTGCATGGCATAAACATTTACATAGAAAATCATAGAAAACAAACGTACACAGAGATAAGAAATATAATAGCCTGTCTGTGTGTTTGTGTGTGTAAATATATTTATTTGGTAAAGTTGGGACTGTGGAGCATTGATAAAGGAACTGTATTTAAGGCTAAATTACCTAAATTAGATTGAATTCCACAAATATTTCTTGTTTAGTTAATATTCTACACAGCCCATATTGATTTAAATTACAATTTTCCTTGTGAATTCAACATGATTCAAGGTCCAGCAAATAAACTATTCCTAGCATAAACACCCTAGTATTTTATAAGATACAGTATTATTCAAAATATTGAATTGGCCTTTTGCAAATAAAAAAAATAAAATATGTGAAAATGCTATTTTCAGTTGTTATTGTCACTGTATGCAATGCTGTAAAAAATGTTTTTGAAAAATACAACTGTTGTACACAAGGTAATATATACATAAAGCACTGCCGAAATGGACATGTGAAAACTAAATTGATATTATTTAATAATTTTGATATTCAAATGAAAATAAACAGATACCATTTTAAAGAACATGATAATATTTTATTTTAGGTGTCTTAACGTATGTTTTGCTCTAGTGGCACTGGAGATGTAAAGTGGTATTATGGTAGGCCTCAAATAGAAATCAACACCATATGCAGCCATGGTTTTATTATATTGTGTATCATGCTAATTTAACTAACATTCTAATAGTGAGCAAAACATTCTAAAAATAAATCATGCAATATAAATATTTTTTTTTCCATGTGCTAAATTAAAAATTTATTAGCATATATAGATTTTTTTTTTATTTTCTATGAAAAATACAACTGTGATATAATAGATACTGTTAGCCTCAATTTCCTAGTTATTCATCTACTGAGAAATTAAGCAAAGGCTAGAACTATGATAACATTACCGAATCTATTTATTAGAGTCTCCTAGGCCCTAAACAAGAGAAAAAAATGGGAGCGAGGGCTGTACTAGATTGATCAAAGAAAGAAAATCCATTTAAAGCTTTTGAAAAGATTTCATCAACTAAATTTACTGCATCTTTTATTGTATCCATTATGGTAAATTGTGAAGTAAGAAATAAATTGGTAAAAATCCTACTGCTTAAGTAAACTGCTCATAAAAGGACACCGAACAACTAAAAAAGAAAGATAAAAAAAGGCGTGAAGCATTGAGCTGTTGGACATTTGAAAGGCATGTTTTCAGACAATGTCATGAACCCCAATGATCGCCTAAACTCTTTTATGTCAAGAAAACTATACAAACTACTTTGGCTAAAACTAAGCTGAGACATCAGTGAATGACCACGATCACAGCAGACAAGAATACAATGTTACAGATTCCAAGCACTTTTTATTCTGTTACTTTGCATAATGACTGTGTGCTTGTCTGGTGTTTGGGTATGTAGCTGTCTGCATATGCAAGTGGCATCTTATTATTTACAAATTGTTACACCAATAAGAAATGCGGTTACATTTTGCAAATTGCCCAATATGTTCTAAACACTTCTCTTACAATGGAAAGATCTTGCTAACACCACAGTGTCATTGTTCTTGCGTGCTGGCTATGTCCTAAAGGTTTAATACACGTTTGATTGAATTGATCCCTTTTGTGTATATTTCTTTTTATTTTTGTTGTCGTTTTTTTTTTGTTTGTGCTTTTGGAGTAGATCTTTGTAATAGCAAATGTGTTAGATGGTGATTGACTGATATCCTGTTGCTAGATGAGCTCACATTTGTAGCATCGATATATAGTATCCCTGCAGTTTGAGATTGGGTTATAAAGGACACAGAAGCAAAGCTGTTCTAGAATCACTGCTGAGTTAAAATTTATATTTTACATAGGACTATGTTTGTAGGCCGAAACAATCTTATGGAATTATTAGCAGATATGTCACTGTGTATTGCCTCTCTAGAACATTGAGAGGGGCCTTGTTTACATTTCCTGGTACCCAAGAATGTTAACCACAATTTAAACTTAGAACCTAATTAAAACAACAATAACAACATGTTTTTAATCAAAGATAAATTCAAGTATGTTTCTCAAAATGCTATTTTTGTAAAAAAAAAAATCAAATGCTATTTCAGCAGCCTATTGTAACACTGTCCCATTGCAATATATCCCAACACAGAAGGTTGACTAATATTTATTTAGTAATTGGCTGTTCTATAGTCACCTTATGCTTTGTCAAAGTTTATCCATCAGTAGCTAGCAACTCGACACACGATTTACAAAGGTGTGCAAAGACCAGTGAAACCAGACACTGCCTGCCTTGCCAGTCATGCCCATAAAGTTGTCTGACAAATCTGAAAATAGTCTTATTTGTTTACAAAACAAACCCTGTGCATCAATCAAGATGGCTCAATATTTACAGTGTTATTAAATATTTGATTAAATATTGCTATGGTTAATTTACGTGACTTGTTAATGAATGCCTTATTACAACTCTAGATTTTGTTTATTTTCTGTGCCATTTTCACTTAACAAAACCAGTACCAAGTAATCCTTTTTACATCTGAAACAGATAAGGCCTATGTAAAATATAAACCTTTGCACCATTTTAATATTGCTCTAAACTATTTTCTTTGGTGTATATAAATTACTAAGAAATCAGTCTTCCCAAAATAGCTGAAGTCATTGTGTAAAAAGATGCAATGCATTCATAACAGTAGAGCAGTATAATTTATGTAAATAAACATGATATATTTTTTATATATATATTGTCATGCTTTAAGTCTACAAAATAATATTTACATGCTTATCTGTCAATTTCAAAATTTCATAATAATCCATGCTAATATATTGACCATCTAACCGTTGGTTGAGGCCTGTGTTTTGGGTAGAACACATGACAAAGACGTAGAAAAATGGCAAATAATTTGCAACTACACAAAAGTTGTGGTCCACAATATATTTATTGTACACAACATTGTGTACATATATTATTATTTACATATAAGCAAAAGTTAAAATAAAATGTGGGTGAGGCCTGAAAAGAGGCGAGGAGGATGTCATCTCAATGTCCTGCCAAGGTACACACAGAACTGTAAAGGGCATTAACCTCTTTGAGTAACAGTTATGAGTGAACCATTGGCAACATATTTATCTTACAGGTAAATAAAAAGCTGTGTTGGGATTTATTGTATGTCATTATATATAAACTGTCAGTTCCAGAGTTAAATGATTACTTTAAAAAAAAAGTGTAATTACTTTTAATTCCATTGTGAAATTTACACAAAATATCTCAAATGTTTATACATATTTCTTAAAAAAAAGATTTGGTGGTTTAACAGTGATTTCTGTAAATAATAATCAACACATGCATATTCCTTGAGATCAGCCAGCCTAGGCTTGTTATAGTTTTGTTTTTGTGATTATCAGTAATGGCTGTTAAATCACACTTGTCTGGAGGTTATTCTTTAAACCTAAGTTGTTGAGCGTGGAATAGTGACTTGACAATTACAGGTAAAAAAAAAGCAAAACTGAGAACATTTTTCAAATCAGGTATTCCTCTTACCTGTCTACCTTTGCCTTAAATGTTCAATGTCCTTGTTAGTTCTCAACAATTCACAGTTTAGTGAATACATCCAGAACATCAGACAGTGAAGCCATGCAGATAGAACACTATATCCTCTTATGTGTTAACTGGAGCAAATCTGTCTAATTGTAATCTCTTTTGTTCTCTCATTTATTTTGTGATGCCCAGTCTACTGCTTGTGTCTCAGAACTGCTTAGGTGTATGTAGAACACATTGTTAAAGGCCTTTTGTATTGTAACTAACTGCACTAACATCATGGCAATAACATGAGAGTTTACAGCCTTGTTTGTAGGACAAACTTTATTTGCATAAATTTGGCACTTTACACGTGTCAAGCTTTTGGTGAGCTTCAAATGAAGAGAGGGTCTAGTTTATTTACATTTCAAACAATGTTTGTGCAAACAGGCATTGATTGCTAAGTGTCTGCATGTCTACAGTTTATTGCTAAGTCCAGGGGTCCTATTTACCTAGAGCTATTGTCTGCCACAATTAAAATTTACATTACAAAGTGTGTGATATTCTTTCTCAAGCAGTTTCAATTAAGACAATAATATGTTTGCTGGGAGGTGTATTGTTTACTAAATGCACTCAGTAGAGTCAAATTACTTCATTTATGCCTTGTGGTACAATCTCTTTATGTGTAAACAAAATATATTATGTAAAACATCATTGTATTATTGTAAGCAAACAGCTTCTGTGTATAACAATGTTGCCATATTAAAAAACAAAACAAAAAACAATGTCAATAAAAATATTGAACACAATTTATGGATTCGTGTGTAATAAGACATTAGAACTGATTTTCAGACTTTGTTTATAAAAATGTCAGTTGTTTAAACTGTTTCATGTACTTTATATTTTTGTTGTTTCATTTTTGTTTTTGTTTGTTTATGAATTCTGGCAGCAAACTGTCACTGTGTTGTTTATGAATTATGCACTGATAAATAAAATTGATATCTAGATAGACAGATCAATAGATATCCTGTAGAATAAATGAAACCAGTAAATGAAGTTTATGTAGAACAACTCCACTTTGTAAAACAGTTGGGAGTGAGCTCACAGTTTGCGTGAGTATGCATGTTAACTAGTGAGAAATAGGACGTATTCTTTGTGAAAGGGGGGGAGTAGCAGATTGCTGTTAAAAAGGCAGCTGAATTTAACACCATCTGGGGAAAAAAGCTCCCTCCACGACTTTCTCACACCATCAGACAAAACTAGTGTCTCTTGTTCTTAGCCCTTGTCTATGCAGCCACACAATACTAAGTCATTATACTTTTGCTGAGAGAAAATATGAGAACACAATCTGGGTAAGCAGTGAATGACCAAATTTCATTGTGCTTGCTTAAGTCGATTGAAATCTACGTCTCGAGCAATGAATGGTTGCATTGTCCCCCTCACCGGGGCTATACTAAATGTCATCCCAGTGTAAAGGGGAACTTCAAGCCTGCAAATAACGTACCAGATCTCAATTATAATATTTTCCCACACTAGAACTAATATCATTGCAAGGACCTACAATACAGAAAATGGCAGACACACAAATACACCACAGACAGACACACAAAAGGAACACAGTGATTCGACTGTTTGTGTTTTATGGATACATGTGTTTGCAAAATGATACATGCATTGCATTTTAGTTGTCCATAAAATAAAATGACCTTTTGCTAATGTTAATCAATGATAAGATGCATTAGTGAGAAAGCCATATATCTAAAAATTCTAAAATGTGTAATAATACACTATATTTATATTTATAGATTAAAGCAGCATTTAAACTCGCTCTTTTATGGTTCTCGAGTCTTAACCATTATGTGACACAACATTAGATAAATATTTAGGAAAGTACACAATCACTCTATTTGTACATTAGTAAAACATGATGTTATTTTATACAGATTTTTAAAACACATTTCATGTGTAAAAAAAATCGTAATTTTTATACCTGCAACAATAGAAGCACTATTCCCTATCTATGCTATCTTTTTCGATAATGTTTTTTAAAGTGTATATTATAAAATAAAAAAGCACAAATAATGATAAAATATATGCACATATGCCTCTCTGTTTTAATATAATAATAATTTTTGATGGATTAAATGTCCACTATTGTATGTTTTCCCTGTGATGTGATCTACTGTTTGATATTCAATTACAGCTAGTTTTAATACAGGTTATTTAACCAATATCACATTTTGTTATCTTTCTTAACGCTGGTTAGGCTGGTTTCTACTAATATAAATATATGTGGTTATGGAGGGCTTTAATAAATACTCTTTATATATGTATTGGTTATCCAGGAATGAATGCTGTGAAATGGTTAATCGCTGACTCCAGTCTCAGGAAATCAGAAGAGGCATTTTTAGATTCTAACGTTATTGTGTGTTGTGTGTAATGACCCACAATATATTGTGTGGGTGAGAGAGACTTGCTAAAAAGAGTCACGTATTAAAATTCTCAAATTAAACCTCTGCTTGCTCGCTCTCTCTCTCTCTCTTTCTCTCTCTCTTATTCTATCACCCCCTCTCTCAATCACCAACTATGTAATTCAATAACATCTCTCTCTTACACAACCCCTTATTTTGCACTTACACTCACACATTCTCTCTCTCTCTCATACTCTTTCCCCCACTCTCTAATTCACTCACTATCTCTCATTCACTCACCTACCTCTCTCATTCACTCACTTTCTCCCCTCCCCTCCCCCCATAAGTTAGCTAAGGAAGGGAGAGGGTAAAGGAAGTTCTCCAGGTAAAAGCTCAACAGAAACTTGATAGGAGAGTAATGTATTGTTCTCACAGCAGACATTAATATGCTTTCATTCTCCTTATTATAGGGGATATTTGGTGTTTCTTAAATAGCAAGCAAAACATGCAATGTGCCTAGAATAATTAAAAAGATTCAGAAAATGTATTAACCCATACCTTGCCGAGAGAACTTCAAATGTACGTTTGGAACGACCTTTTAATTTCTGAAATATCGTTTTATTTACTAACCATGCAAACACACCTTTGTTCTTTTCTCTGTCTTTCTCTCCATACTTTCCTCCCTTCATCTTTTCAAATTTTATTCTCGACATTCTCTTCCCATGACTTTAGCCCCATCATTCCTCTCCCTTTCATTCCTTATTTTCTCGTTCTGTTTCTTTTTATCCTCCGTATATCTATTATCCTCCCCACACCTTTCTACCTTGTTCCCTCTCTCTCTTTAACCATCATCTATAAAACATTATCTGGCATATCTCAATCCTCTCCAATAGGAAAATCCCACAATGTCATTTCCTCTGTGTTTGTTGCCATATTTCCCCGATTTAACCCTCATGCCTGCCATTGAAGTAAAAGAGAATATATGAATACTGAATAAGACAAGAATAATGAATAAGAGAATGTTAATCACGTTTTTGAATGTGATCATTTTTGACTCACAATATCCAGCAGATCTTCACCTTCACAGACCAATTCAGACACACACAATACTGATTTTCTATTTTATTAGAATAAAAAAATATAAAAATATACATATAATATAACATATATATATATAAATATTTAGAGACAAACAAGATGAAATGTCTCTTTACTGCTGATTACACTTCGCATTTCTGTAATTAAAACACTCATTCTGGGCTAGAGTAAAAATAAATTACATTACTAATAATATGGATACCCAATTATACAGAATAATTGTCAGGCTAGGTGACTTTTATTTAAAAAAAATAGCCTCTCTCTTCTGATGATGGTATTAACATTTGTCAAATCTGAGATTTCCAAAAAATCAGTTGTTGCCTTCCTGTACGGTGTTTTTTTTTTTTTTTAATTTTTTTTATTTCCTTTCCAGCTGTTCTAATTAAAAACTCTCACTGATAACACTGTGTTTACAGATATGCAAACTCACACAATCATTTTAAATATCGCCCTTATGTATTTTGCATTGACTTATTCATGCCCCACTATCCTTTGACTGTTAACATACTTTCATAGGATGTGGTTATAGTGCAAAAGAAAGCACTGGCAGTGAATGAGTTAAACGTCCCTTCCAAATCTTGGAATGCAATAGTGGTTGCTTAATTCATTGACTGGAATGGCATTTCCTAAAGCAATTTTATGGTCCCAGGTCATTTTGAAGCATCCTTTACCAGACTGCTGTATTAACTGAGATCCTTTAACCAAAATAAGCTAAACTGTGCCATTTGCAGATCAAAATTAACCAGCATTCCTGTAAAACAGGAGGCAGTCATAATTATCCAGAGAACTCCTCAGTGGGGATATGCATTTGTGTACCCACGGGAGGCTTATGCTACCAAAGAATGGTCCAGTACTCTGTTCTTGTCAGTGGTCTCATTGCTGGCAGCTGATTGGTGTCTCCTAGGAGACGGCAGCTGTGCTTCTAAAGCTCACAGTACCAATGCGCTGTGTCTGCCTATATGCAGTAGGTGATGCTGCTCTTCTCAAACCAGCATCCCTGTGCTATCAAACTTAATCCAAATTATATCAGCCCCCCCTCCTCTTCCTTTTAGAGGCGCCCTCTTTGTTATTTAAATCAGTGTAATCAGGCAGTGAAATAGACAACGATAGCATGTGTACAGTTAAAACACACAATAAAAGCTGGTATACAACCACCAGTGACATTTTTGCTATTGATAACAGAAGCAATTATTGCTTTTAATGAGTTAACGTTCAGGTCAGATTAGATTCATAATTAAAAAGAAAAGTTTACATTCATTTTAAATGCAGTTTATTAGCAAAACAATTCTTATACATATTCTTACTAGAAAGGCAAAGTAAATTGCAACCTAATAACATAATGCATTTTGACTTTGGACCATCAATGTGCACTGATATAGTATAGAGATATATTTGTGTGGGAAATCAAATAATACACATTACAGAATTGTTAGAAGAATTGCAAATCTAGAAAACTATTCATTAAATAGTATATAGGCATTCAGTCCATATATTTGACATAGATAAATATTAATAATCATGTATATTTAATAAACTAACACCTTAGTTGGAAACAAAGTGATGTGCAATTTTGAGGTCACATGTCTTTGTCTGCTTGAAACTGTGCTGTTTAATGCTTATTTAAAGCCAGCTAATAACATCATGCATGGACATTTAAACTTGTTTTAAGTTGCAGAGAGGATTAGACTGAAGTCATGCTGTGCTGAGATAATGACAGCATCTTAGCCTCTCAAGTGTCAACTAAGACTGGTTTCCTTCCTCTAACCTGGGTTCTGGGTCTATTTCTTTCCAGTGGTGGATACACTGAGTATGAGTTTCAGAAAACCAGATAGATATAGTACATGTATGTGCAGTCCACTCCTAGTAAAAGATTGTCCTGGAAAAAAATAGACAATGATAACATAAAATCTTTAATGATATTATAGTAAATAACTGGATGTATGAATGTCCTTCTCAACATTCTTTTATGTATTTACACAAAAACAAACTTAGACTTGCTCATGGCGAGACAATTCGGCTCGGCCGAACCATTTGTCCTGAAAACAGAATATTTTTTGGGATCCCCAAATTCAGCTGGGTAGAATTTCAATACCAAAAAACTGATTTTGGAATTGAATCAGTAAATAAAAATAAAAAAAAATAAAGGACAAAATGGGCCAATCAGTGTACTGCAAAGAATAAACATAGCATATGATGTATATATTTTGCAGGCACATTTTCCAACCATTTGTTTAAAGAATAAATAACAAATTGTAACCAATATAGGAAAAAAATAGTAGGAGCAGTAAAAAAAATAAAATAATTTTTTTTTTATTAAATATTAATTAAATATATAATGTATAAATATAGATTTTTTTACAGTGTCTCCTCATTTAATGGCTGTCCCCTAGTCATCGATCATTTTTTTCACATCAATTATAGCTTCTTTTGGCGCTATGGGTGGAATCCAGAAACAAACATGCTTGGCTGTTGCTCATTTCAGTTGGTTCCAGACTTAAGTATATTTCAGCTCTGAGTTTGGAAATTCGACCAATCACTCAAATTCAGACCAATTGCATTTCAGACTGAAACAAATTAAAAACTCTAACAAACATTGATATATACACATATAAGGTACAAAGTGAGTTATGTTACATGTACTTCATGTATGTATCCTAGTTAAAAAAAGGGCAATACACAACAAGGTAGTCACATGTTATCTGCTTGGTAGCCATCTGACTATACAGCACATACACAATGCACAGATAAAACATTTTGTCCAGCACTATACCAATAATATCTTATAACAATTACACTTGGTGTCATGGATACTGTGATTATCTTTGTGCTCAATATTGCCCACTCTAGAAGAAGACAAATCTGGTCTGTTGATCGCTAATATTCATGTTTGATATATGATTGTGCAGGAAGCTGTCAGAGTCTGGTTTGACGTTTAAAATATGACAATCTAGGTTTAGTTGTATTCTAAGGAAAAATAATTGGGAGCAGTATCAGTGATTGTATAGAAATGTAGAATTGTTTATCCATTTATGTTAAAATATTTATTTTATTTCACAAGTGCCTCACTCTCTTTGTAATTCATTTTACAAAATATAAAAATACAGTATGTAAAAGACAGATTTTAGACTAAATCTATACTGTTAAATGCATTTCAAGTTTTTCTTTTCCGGTGGTAAATATTTTGTCACAATAATAACATAGCATGCTATAAAAATTCATAAACCGTACATCATACATCCATATTATAACATATTATTATAGTAAATAAACACCACTCAGCCATATTGTATAGTGTAATAACTTACATAACAGTGTATTCATTATGTCATGCCATAGTATAAGAATTCTCTTGAACAAATTATAGTGACCTAACTTTTTTGTGAAAAATAGGGGGCTATTTTTTATGTCTCTATGATTTCTTTATTTTGAGATAAGGAGGTATGCCATTTGAATATTCTTGTTTCTGGTTAGAAAGCAGAGTTTGATTGAACACTAGCAGTCTTATTCACTAAAGTGAGAATTTACAGGTAATTAAAGTTAATTTAAAGTGAAATTCAAATTTAAGGCCAAAGTAAGCAAACTAGAGAAATTCTTCATGTCAGTTATCCTTCCAGTCTCATTACACAGAATGGGAGACCACAACTAATATTGGTCTCATTTTCTTCTACACCATGTGTAATACGTGTAAAGGGAATTACGGGAGACTATAATTTACCATACATGCACCACAAGTCATCCTTTCTGTCCACCACCACATATTTGCTTGATACAGTAAAGAATAAGCCATGGCTCTTGAATTTATTGAACAATAACGTACACAAATATCATAGGGGATATCCTCTTCCACTTTTACAAAATGTGTCCTCTCTCACAAAGTGCAAGGAAGAAGTAAGGGTTGAATTGGAAGAAGGGTGTCTACTTATTAAAGTGGGCCTGCCTATTTATGAAATACTCATACAGATTGTATTGGAATCCAAAGATATCATAAGCAAAAGGAAATGCTACCTTGTAATTACTTTGTCTTATGGGCAAGCTTGAGGTTCACAAAGATTTGGAGCTTTGCTCACAAACTTTGTCATATCAGAGCAGTCACCATAATTGGTGAGTGTGAGAATCAGGTATTGTTTTGCTCATTGCGAGACATAATCTATGGAGGCTGTTGTGGTCTTGAAGAATGTTCCGTAGACCTCAGTGGTATATTCGCATGCATGCACAAAAGTACAATACTTATATTCCTCTTGGTAGATCAAGCACCAAGAGCTGAAGATGGTCCCCAGGAAGAATATGGCAGCAGACTTGAGGGACAGCTTTAGGTATAACTACCTTTCACTGCACCATGTGGCCACAGGACCTTTGTGGAGATGTCCCCTATGAAGGTTTCGATATGGTTTAAGTGCCATATCAGTGCAATGTCCAATTATCCAGGTACTTTGTTTCATTTAAGTAAACATCTAAATCATTACCTCCACCATGCCACAAATTATACATTAGAATAGCTGTATCTTCCCTAGCCTTCCCAGTGTGTCCACTATTATAGATCATTTTTTAATATTACTGTTCATGTCCCCTAGCAGAACCTTGCTACAGATGATCTATAACATACTGTTCTGCTCTTAAAATCAAGGGACTAATAGTGCATTGTCTATCTGTCTACCTAGTCCTCAAATAGAACCAATCATGCAGAAAAATAAAAATACAACATGACAAATAAATATGTGAAATGAGAGCTTAGTGCTGGTGGGACTTATGTCAAACAGCCATGTCTTCAGTTTCTTCCAAAGGGTGGGAAGACCCTAAGTTGTGTAGAGGCATGGGTTCCAAAACTGTACACACCAAACTAATTATCTCCCTTTTTTTCACTTGGATATATGTAGCAGTTTAGGAACTAATGTGAGGAAAGAGGAAATTAAATGGTGTGGATTGCTTGGTGAAGCATGGTGAAGAGTTTGAAGGACGCACATTGACATATAGACAGTATAATTTGTTAGGTTTTCCTGAGATGTGGTTGTACATTTGTTGACCTGTAATGATGAATGCTGCAGTGTTTTGTATGGCATGTGGAAACATGAAACGGTGGTTGGGAACACTTATGTACAAATCATTGTCTTAATCTAACGCTAACATTTTCAGTAAGGTTATGGGTTTGAGGTTGTTGATGTTCTGGACATGTAGCATGTGTCATATCCTACACAGGATCCTCAGATTCAATGTGGTTGTTTCCTTTTATATGTTTTTTAATTAAATTAGTTTTAATATATTTGAAAATGCTCTGTGCTTGCCTGTTTTCTGTGATCCTTTGAAGATCCAGCTCTTTGAGTGTAATCATCAATATATTGGTGGTAAGGTCAGCAAGAAGTGTGATACAATTATTAAACAGTAAAGTGATAATGATCCTTGCAGGAACACTAAAATGTTAACCTAGTGGGTTGCCAAGAAGGCGGTGATTCACTTCATTGATATCCCTATAAAGTGTGTGCTTCTTCCTATGTACATCTGATGTTTATTCCATGGGCAAGGTAGGCTGTGGAAAGATGAGGTAAAAAATGGGATCAATCATAACCTCCACTCGAAAAATGTTACATGATGTTCCATAGTATTACAACTATGAATGGCTAGAACAAGTAAGTTGTTCCAGTAACAGACATCAGTGAGAAATCAATCTTGTTAAATAACTGCTATGTTTAGAATTGTAAGTTGGTAATTTTTATATTGTTAGCCAAGACGTTGAAGCGTAAGTAAGTTTCCATAGCTGAGTTGACTCCAATTTTTTTTTTAAGTTGATCTACGCAGCATTACACGCGTTCAACACTCTATACATATTTGGTCATTTCAATAAAAAACACAAACAGAGTTTAAACTTTTCTTTTATGCCTCTCAACAACTTAAATAAAGGAGATCTTGATCTTTAATCAATAAATGAGACAATGCATTATTATATATATATAATTAAACTTTTGCGAATTATTTTGTCTATTTATTTTAAAGCCACCCTACCGATTATTCAGAATTATGGAATAGTTTATTAGTTTAATAATAATGATGGTAATGATGATACATGTTTGCTAATTTAAAATATTTAAAATATTGTATTAAAATCAATTTGCTTGAAATTCTTTATTATTGAGTTATGTATTACGCAGATTTAACCACACCTTTCTTCAAGGATTTCCTGTCTACAGAGTAAAAAGTAATAGTCACTAAGACTGACTAGGTGATCTCAAATAAATATTAACATATAGCAAAGGTAAGTGGTAGTTTTTACCTAAGAGTTATCTTCAAAATGGTTGAAAGAACTGCAAAATGTTAATAAAATGTTCATATAATGTTTTATTTTATGCATTGGAATGGGTTAACCTTAATTTAGAAATAGTATTTAAAGTATAATATAAATGTAGAGATGTAGCGAACCGTCCGCGAACTTCTCGCGAACGGTTTGCCGCGGTTCGCCACGAGCTGTTCGCGGCGAACTCTGGTCAGCTGACGCGTCCCGGCCAATCTCCAGCAGACCCTCCCTCCCAGACCCTCCTACTTCCTGGACAGCATCCATGTTTCAACATGTTTCAACATGGATGCTGTCCAGGAAGTAGGAGGGTCTGGGAGGGAGGGTCTGCTGGAGATTGGCCGGGACGCGTCAGCTGACCGGAGTTTGCCGCAAACAGCTCGTGTCGAACCGCGGCGAACCGTTCGCGAGAAGTTCGTGGACGGTTCGCGACATCTCTATATAAATGTAATAAAAAAACAAGAAAAAATAATGGATTACTGAACTATACCATATGAAACAACCCTGTCCAACTCTACAGAAAGGATACATCTGGAATCTCAACATCAATTTCATTAATTTTGAATGGCTAACTTGCCCTCAGAACTCTCAACCAATTACTAGTGACAGCCCTGTTTTTATCTATGTGCTCCGAAATGGTTTGACATTAAAGATGGTGAGAGCACATGAGAATCTAGATAACATAACCACTACATAAAGCTATAGTACTTACATTGCTAAGAGTGTCTATGTAACTCTTTTTGTGCTCTGTATAATAGCCAAGAATATGCTATAGCTTCAGCCACAACACTCAAACACACTGGCATTATTATTCACAAAGGTCCAGTGACACTTGTAATCATGATAGAGTTATACATATAATATCCACCCCGTACAACAGCCAATAGGGAAATAGAATTAATAATGACTACAGGGATAGTTCAGTTAGGAAATACCTAGGCTGTAAGCATAGATTTAACATGTTTCACATTTCTTTCCCCTGAATGTAGCCTTTCATGTTTCCGAGGTTGATACAATGAGTATCATTAACTTAAGCATTAGTAGCATATTTTTTCTAACCTGCCAATCGATGAATGTGTGTTGAAATGTCAGATGCATAATTTTTTTTTTTATATTTTTTGAAAATGTAATTATACTACATATTGATTTAGGGAAGATCACAGTACAAAAAATAAATAAATCCCATTTTAAATATTGTGATGTAAATATTACATATACAGTGATGTATGAGAAGTTACATTTTATGCCAGTCAAAACTGTGGCATAAAAATATGTTTCTCTCCTGAATGCAGACCTGTGTTGTATTTAAAAAAAGGTAGTTGGTAGGTAGCTTTTAGATTTTGTTCTGCACTGCTATGCAGTGTGAATATAGACCAAACCAACCCTGCCATTACTGGATTGTGATTAAACAACATTTAGTAACTGATGGTTAGCGTTTAACCTTCAATAGACCATTTGTTTGTATTAGTTCAATGTTTGAAAAACCTTCCAATAAACAGTAAGCAGATACTCACATCAAGCCTTGATTAATCATTACCCTTGCTATTCATTTCAGCATGTTGATACACGTCAATACTTGTACAGACATTTACTGTAACTCTAATCTCCTGCTTACACAATTCATAATCCTTATATAATAACAACACATATATACTAGATATCGTGATGTAGAAAGTAATAGATAGGTGTCTCTGTACCACTCCCAGACATGTCTATTTATCAGTTCCACAAGCACAAAAACAAACTAAAATCAATACAAACATCAAGGCAATTGAATCCAATTAATTGTGAGGCTATGTCTCCCTCTGATAAAATTGGTACAATTCCACCGCAGTCAGAAGACGCGGATAAATATGCCTCATTTCATAAACATCATGCCCCATATTTGGGCCTTGAAATGTTTCCCTATGATTTCCATGATACAATCAGCAAAGTCTGAGCTGACATAAATCTGTCTGGGGAGGAAATGTGAGTGCAGCTTGATTAACTGGTTCCTTATATCTGGTGCAGATGCAAGCAGAAAAAAGTCTGACATAAATCAATGTTCTCTGTTAAAAAGCAGAATAAATAACCCCCACGGACACTAGAAGATATGCTGTAAGTTACTGTTTTTGGGGTAGGATCACTAAACCGCATTACTTGATGGTAACATAAACAGTAGGACTATACGAGTGGGTTTCTTGCTAAATTAATGGAATATAGAACACTGTGATTCTAGACAAACCAGACAAATCATATGAAGAGCAGTTAATAGCAACTTATTTAATGATGGTGTAATGCAACATTTATTCACAATCAGTAAATTACATCAATGCTTTATTAATAATATTTAAACCTGGATCACATTCTCTTTTTGTAAGGCAGCCATTTTGTTTTCATTTAAATTATTAGTATAATAGGTATACACTTACATGTAAACAGACTGTCATGTGGGAACATTTATGGTTATTAATAATTTATGAGGTGAAAATGTATTTACGTTTAATATATATAGTTAATGCATTGCTAAACACAAATACACACACCAGTCAAGCCATAAGACTTGCTTTTCCCACAGAAATCTCACTTTAACAGTGCAAGGGATTCTAGGTAGGCATATGCAAATTAGCTCAACAAAGAACCACATTTTTTATCCACTTACTTCAGGTGGAAGGGGTTTTCATCCACACTTTTTACCCCACCACAACTCTTTTGGTATGTATATATATATTTATTGTTTTGCTTTATTGTGGGAGATGTGCCTTTGAGGCTCCCATACCTTAATGTCTCTGCACTTTCCCCTAAACAAGCGTTTACTTGTGACAGACGCGGAAAGACGCGTGACGTCATTAAGCATCATGTGACCACATCAAACCGTGGATGCTTTACTTTTCTTTAAATCAAATATCTATGTTATGCTATACATAAATTATATTATTCTTCCATTATATTTGAAATGTTTTTTTAACATATGCACATCTTTCTTCCCTTTTTTCCGCACTTAGAATGTGCTGGGATTTGACTACTCACTATTATATAGTTTTCACGATACCCTGCTCCATGGCGCCCTGTGCGACCGCACAGCTCGCACAACCCTAAGGCCAGCCCTGAATGTGACCTCTGCAGTAGAGGAAGCTCAGTGACAAACAATATCTCAATAACATGACCTCTGAGGAAACTCAGCAACAAACAATATGAAAATTTTGTGACCTTTGTGGTAAAAGAGGCTTCAGTAGCAAACAATAACCTGGTTATGTGACCTCTGCAATAAAGGATCCCCAGTATTAGTATTACAGATACAGATCTCTGTCTTAGAGAAAGCTCAGTAACAAACAATATCCCAATAAGTTGACCTTTGCAATTGAGATTGCTCAACATCAAACAATATCCCAAATACACAACCTATGCCAAGTATATGAACTCTACCATAGAGAAGACTCAGTAACACACAATATCTTAGTTACTTGACATCTGAGTTAGAGGAAGCTCAGCAACAAACAATATGCCAGGAATATGACCACTGTGATAGAAATAGCTCAGTAACACACAATATCCTGATGCCGTGACCTCTGCAGTGGAGAAAGTTCAGTAGAAAACCATATTTGATTACTTGACCTCTGCAATAGAGGAAGCTCAGTAACACAGAACATTCTTACAATGTGACTTGTGTGATAAAGGAAGCCTCTGTGGTAGGGAAAACTCAGTGATCAAACATTATATCAATTACCTGACCTCAGTGATTGAGGAAACTCAGCCAGTGGTGTATTTGGTTTTGTGCTGTCCTAGGTATGACTAAATTCAGGTACCTCACTAATTCGAATTTGCCCCACTCCTTCTTGTCAAGGCCACACATCTTCCTGTTTAAGATTAACACACACTTTGACTGACACACGCCCTCACTGATACATACACTGACATATACTCACTGACTGGGAGCGATATGACATCAAGATGGATAGGGAGACAAGTAGTGAAATGGACAAAAAGACATGTAGGGAGACAGACGGGGACACAGGTAGTGAGACAGACAGAGACAGTGAAACAGATAAGCAGGTGGCTGTGAGATGGGCATAGAGACAGACTGCGATAAAAACAGTAAGAAAGACAGTGAGGCAGACAGCGAGCTATATGCATACAGTAGATATATTGAGAAATGTGTAGTCAATAGGTAGTGTAAAGCAGGGAGCACAAAGTTTGCTATAAAAGGAGTATCCTATTGAGAACTTTTATTCATATCATATAGTGTCACCACTTTATTGTGTGGCTAACCATATAACTGGCAAAAGACTGACTGGCCAACATCTGACACACCTGTGTGCTCAGTGTAAGAACTATGTAGCCTAGCAGATGCTAGTTGCAAGTAAAATAATAATATGCCGAGAAGAAACCATGTATTTGCATGACAAATGGTACTGGAAACAGTTGTTACAGATAGGGTGAGCATAACAGTTGCGTGCATAGAGTGATAGGGAATAAAGAATATATAAACCCTTATCCAGTCTTCCTTCGATGTTGCGTTGACATTAATTATGAAGGAAGGAAAAAAAAACAGATACTCTAATAAGAGACATGACATACTTACAGTACCATTGGCACCCCTGGCAAATGTTCCAATTATAACGATTTCTGATCTCTCACGAGAAGTGTGCACCTTTGGCATCGTGTACCAAAGCTGGCAGCTCCAAAACTTTACCTTAGAGTAGACCATGAGAGACCCGGTAGCCTGGAGACTGAAGATGCTTGTGACATTTGGTATCAGATATTACTGTAGGTGATAGTTTAGGATCCAGTGATCATCAGTCAGTGTGGTTTAATATAAGAACAGTGACTGAGTCACACCACACAAAAACAAAAATTTGAGACTTTAGAAAAACAGACTTTTCTAAAATTAGAATATGTGTAAAGGAGTCATTATCAGACTGGAGCCATTTAAATGGAGTCCAAGAGAAATGGGATTATTTAAAAGTTGCACTACTGAAGGCAACAGAAAATTGCAGTAGGCTTGTCAGTAAAAGCAAAAAATTCAAGAAACCACTGTGGTACTCCAAAGATGTGGCCAAAATAGTAAAAAACAAAAAGTTAGCATTTAGTAATCATAAAAAACCCAGAGTGAGGTAGACAGAATGAGGCTAAGCAGGTTATAAGAGCTTCCAAATCACACACAAAACTTTTTTTAGATACATAAATGAGAAAAGAAAAGTAAAACAAGGATTAGTTAGATTAAAAACAAAAAGAAGGAAGGTATGTAGAAGAGGATAAAGGGCTAGCTGACTGCCTCAATGAATATTTTTGTTCTGTATTTACAGATGAAAATGAAGGAAAGGGACCTCAGTTAGGAAAAATGATAAATGAGTCATTTATTACATGTGAGTTTACA